CCCAAAAGGACAGTGCCTGGAACCACTAAAGCAGTGAAGAAAGACCCCCTCCCCAAACAGAAAAAGAAACCATGAGGCAGGAAGGAAAAATTGAAACACAATACAAATAATTGCAAATCACAACAGTTTAAATCCTTTTAAAACTAAAACACAAGCCTTGTCTGGGTCATTGCCAGAGCTCACACCCCAGGCAAGCTCAAGTGTAAACACTTGAGATAAGCCTAACTACGAAGAAAGCAATTAGTGCTAGAATGTTGCAAAAGAGCAAACAGAGTAGCTGTTGCATGTTAAAGCAAATACCAGAACAAATAGACATCGGAACCAACCAGATTTCTCAACCCAGTTTCTTTTCAGGAAAAGAGATTAATCTTTTTCCTTCCAAACAAAGCTGAATAGGGAAAATTATCTCATTAATAAACACAGGATTGAGGGAGGAGCCAACGTTGCGACGATATGGTTGTGTGGTCTCGATGCTCTGAGACTGCAGCCAATACTTTTGCCGCTGGGTGGTCCAAACGGACCTAAACCATACCAAAGAGACGGTGAACAGGAAGAATACGTCTTGCTGATCTCAGGGATATCGCAAAATCCCTGAAAGAAGCAAGAGAAGTTCTTCAAGTCAGTGACAAAAATCCAGCCATGGCTGACAAAGTCGGGGCGGCTGCAAAACGGAAGGATACGGAAAGAGAAAGTGTTTCCAGCTGGTGAGGAACTTTTACAGTTTTAAAAAGAGACTGCCTATAAAAACTTAAACATTAATTTAAATTGAAGAATAGAAGAATTAAGCGGCTGAATTAAATTTGGAATGGTTTTGGACAGTGGTTATCTTATTTTTTAAATGCTATCTTCATGGATGGAATTTATGCAAGCCTTTTGAAACGGATGGATTAAGTTTTGTTCTTCTACTTTTTCTTTATTGTTCTCTGTAGCCTATAGACTAAAGTTTTCCTCTTTCATTGCTGTGGGTATTTTTCTAATTAAAAATTAGAAAAAAATATTACAAAAAATAAACACAGGATTAAACTTCACCAACAACCAGTTTTAGACCAAAACTCAGAAAGGATATGTAAACTCACATTTGAATCTTTTCAATCTTTGTAGCCAGCCAAGAAACTTACCTGAATGTCACTCATCTTGGTTCCTTGTCATTAAAAGCTTCTTTCCGGCAGCTCTGCTTCCTTTTCCAATTATTTCTTCAAAGTGCTGATCGGTGCATCCCAACTGGAAGAACTCCAACAGGAGAGTATTTCTTCCCAACAGCAGTGTAAAAAGCTTAAAACAACCCTTCCCCTTTAAGAAAGCCTCAGCAAATACCAGCAAAGGAAAAAAAAATCCAGAGAAGCTTCAGAGGCAACAGTAAATCTAGGTGTACTGCCAGGAATGTACTAAGGGTTAACCGGAGAGGCAGTTTCTGTAAGCAGGGCAATAAAGATTAGGCTAGAAACAACACTAGAATGTTTCCTTCCTGCCTTCC